TGGGATCAGTTGTGCGAAAGAGTGACATCCCTATTGGAGGCGTGTACTAAGTGGAATCTCTCTATCAGTGTGGTAAAGAGCTATTGGGGGATGCGCAAGGTGGATTACTTAGGCCATCGAGTCTCCAAGGAGGGATTGGAGGCGAATCCTAAGGACCTGTCTTCGTTAGCCGATTTGTCCTTCCCACAGTCGTAACGGGCGATGCAATCCTTCTTGGGCAGTTTGAACTACTACAGTCGGGTCATCGAGGATTACGCCCTGTTTGCCGCGGTATTGTATGAATTGAGAGAGGTAGATTTTGCTGCGATGACCACTCCAGCTGTCCGGATCAAAATCCAACAAGCTCTGGCTCTGGAGATGTCGGATCCACGAAGGGATCCAAGTAGTACGACGCCAGAAGAGGACCTAAAACAGGAGCGGGATCCAAAGGAAGGAGGATCCAATCAGGATAGAGACGACGGATCAGAACTCGGAAAGGGTGGAACCTCGGTGGATCCGAGCTCAACACGCATTTGTGGAGCTGAGGAACAAGATCGCGACCACACCCATCCTCTTCATTTCGATCCGGAACGTCAACCTACGGTTATAGTTTATGCCAGTGACTGGGCAGTCTCAGCAGCCTTGGTACAAGAACATGAAGGGATCTGTCATCCAGTCACCTTCGTCAGCCGGACACTGAAGCCGAATGAACTGAACTACGGAGCGGTGGAGAAAGAGGTACTCGCGCTCCTGCGCGTGTTGGATCTGAATTACAACCTGCTAGTGAAAAAATCCATCCGGATCCTGACTCGACACTCTACGCTAGCCTGGCTGTTCAAGTCGGCCGGGTTACAAGGACGTTTGGGACAGTGGGCAGCTTTACTCTCGCCTTGGACGCTGGAGATTGTGAAATGTTCGAAAGGGGAAGACGAGATCCTGGGAGTCTTGGCCGCGAGCATCACTCCTCGAGCTAAGATGGATGAGGCGCTGACTAGGATCGCTCCTAAGAAAGAGCCCAAACGCCAGATCCAGATCCCGATCCCGACGGTACAGGTGGATGAGGATCTGTACGTCCTGAGTTTCGATGGATCCGCTCGTTTACGACGCGGAGGAGGAGCATACAGTGCAATACTGTGGAGACTGCCCGGATGGGAAGTGGTAAGGGCCAGATCCACTTACGCGGAAGGCCTCACCGTCAATGAAGCGGAGTATAACGGGCTCCTTCTGGGTTTGGATTTACTAAAGGGACAAGATCCAAAACGGCTGGTGATTTGTGGGGATTCAAATTTGGTAATCAGACAGGTGCGAGGTGAGATTGACTGCAAGGCCCCGGCCCTAACACTGTTACGGCAGAAAGTGATGATCCACCTGCGCGGTTGGTTGAATCACGAGTTGGAGCATGTCAAGCGAGATTGGAATGCCAGTGCGGATAGCTTGGCCAGTGCCGCTTTACGGAATCAATGTGGTGCTGAAGTGGAGAGAGAGGCCGAACATCAGGATCTCGTTACGCTGAGTCGACTAGACGAAGTGGTGGTAGTTGGATCCGGGAAAAGGACAGTCCAGGTGATGGCCGTCACTAGGTCCAGAGGAAGGATTGGATCCAGCCCCCAGATCCTCGAGGAAACATTTGTGAAGAGAGTCCGCATTGAGCGGATCCTCAAAGCACAAAACGAGGAAGCGTGGATCCTAGGACTAAAGAAGTATCTGATGGGGGATGTACGAGACTTGAGTCGGGAGGATGCCAAATCCTACAGCATTATCCCTACGGATTACGCAGTGGATCTGATGACTTGCTCTTCTATTGCCCCCCTACGAAGAGAGTCCACGAGGATCGGGATGGATTGATGAGATTTGTGATGCCAGAAACCTTACAACAGGATGTCCTACACCACTACCACGCTAGTTTAGAGGGTGGACATCAGGGGATTGGTCGGACCTACCAACGGATCCGGGAATGTTTACATTGGAGGGGACTATTAAAGAGCGTGCAACAATATGTCGGTGAATGTGTGGATTGTGAGACAGGCAAGGGCAGGCCACAATCGAAGGGGAGTCACCTGGGAATGTCCAAGCGACTTACCCTTTCCAAATCATAGCCATGGATCACATCCCCTCGTTGCCCAACTCGTTCAAAGGAAACACAGAATTGTTGATTTGGGTGGACTTGTTTACCGGATACGTGATAGCCAAAGCTAGTGCGTCTAGAACTGCGCAAACCATTGCTGAATCGTACGAGGAGTGCGTTTTCCGTAGATTTGGAGCTAGCGAGATGATTAGACATGATCGGGAGCCAGGCTTTATGTCTGATTTCTTTCGAGCATTCAACCGGATCCTGGGGCAGCGACAGCGAGCAACCATGGCATATCGTCCCCAAGCTAATGGGTCGGCCGAACGCATGGTGCAGACGATCACGAGAGCACTCAAGATGTATGTCCAGGATTTGGATCAGAGGGATTGGGATGAGTACGCAGAACGACTCCCCTTCGCGATGAACACCGCCCAAGACAGGATCCGGGGTGATACCCCATTTTACTTGGTACATGGGTGGGATCCCAAATCCACCCTAGAAGCGGCCATTCCGGTATGTAGCACCAAGAAGAGAAACCGAGATCCAAGGCGATGGCGATACCAAGTCCAGAAATACTACCAGCAAGCTAGATCCCAGGTGAACGAACGACTGCGGAGTGCGATACAGGATCGAGCGGATCGACACAACGAAGATGCCCGTGCACATCTAATCCAAGTGGGATCGCAGGTGTGGCTTTATTTGGATCGAGTGAAAGAAGGATACGCCCGCATATTGGCCCATCTATGGCATGGACCGTTCTGGGTGAGCGAGAAGATTGGAGAACATGCGATAAAGCTGGAAACGGCACCCTGCCGCCGCTATCCTTCACGCTCGCTTGCCCGCCACCAGTGCCACCGTCGCCGCCGTATCCGCCGCCGCTTCGCACTAGCTCACCCACCAACCGGATGACGCACTGACGCCGTCGACCCATCCCCATCATGCCTCTAAGCCACTCTTTTTAAAATAAAATTTTCACTTATTTATAACGTTAGATTTATTAATAATTAGAGATACCGTATTTGTTTTGTAGTAAATGTGGTGTCTGGTACCTGAATCTGTCTGTTGTTCCAGCATGTCGGAAAGGGGTAGGGTGTCTGAGCGGTTGCGATATTCTACCTTTAAGTTCTTGCCCAAAATAGCGCAGCAAACTTTTGGTCCTTTATTTTGCCCACGGCGACTTCTCCGAAAAAAATGCATTCAATTTAGCAGGATTTTTTCATTCTCGTCTGCAGGTCGATATTTTTGTTTTTGGCGCCAACCACCAGATGAGCGTGCTGGAAACGGCGGCGTCTCCAAGCAGCAGCGGTGCGTGATGTTCCTCGCCGCCACCAGGTCAACAACCTTCAGTGGGTCTCACACTCTTTTTTTTTATCTTTTTCAATGTGGTATGCGCAGACTCATCGCCTGTGCTCATGGAGCCTCCAGAGCGCCATCGGACGCGTTCTCGCCCGGTCGAGATGGAAGCGGACGAGGTTGGTGGCAGTCGACTGTAGGTGGGCATAATACGAGGATGTTGACTGTTTGTTGCTGTAGTCGGATGATGGCGACACAGACGAGTTGGAGGAGAACAAAGAAGAAGAAGAAACGATGACAAAGCGTCCCTCGGTTCGTTTTTTTTGCGTCTCTTTGTCTGTAGCTTGACCGACTAACTGGGCTGCTGTAGCGACGTCTACAAACGGAGCTGGATGTGGCAAGCCCGCTGCCCTCCCCAGGCCCCGAGGATATCAGCAGCGCGTCGCCTGCCTCGTCTTCTCGTTATGCTCTTCGCACTCGCCACACCAAGCCCAAGCGCTTCGACGAGTCCATGTACAACGAAGTGTTCACCAACTCGCACTCATCAGCCTACGCGGAGTCGACGCCCGAGTCGCAAGTTCCCCGTAAGAAGCGCCGACGTCGCAATCGCAAGCAGAATCGAAGGAGCAAGAGGCAACGGAGACGTGCAGAGGGGAGACGCATGAT